TCAGACTATTTGAGCAGCCCTGTATTCTGGGCTAAGTGATTGTGGAACAGTCTATGCTGAGCTTCTTACCACAACTGGAAGAAAATTTGGTCACTCTGGCCCTAAAGTCGTAGCCCACAAAGTAATAAATGGAACTGTGCCTCTCCTTTTGTACACTTGGAACTTGAGACTTAGTCTAGCCTCTTACCTGTCTTCAAGCCATCTCAGCCAGATTGGAATCCACCTCCATTTATAACCGCTTCAGAGACAATTGCTCAACTTTTGGTAGTCTGCTCTTCAGTTTCTGGAAAATCCTGCTAAGGTCCATGAGAAGATAGGCCTTTGTGACCCGTAATTTCTAAAAGGCATGCTTGACAATGAGTAATGACTCAATCGATAGGAAAAATAAAGTCAGAGATCCCCCTCTTGTGAAAAGTCAGAGCACAGGGTCATGGCAGCTGAGGAACCCAGGCTGGAATCCCTCAGAACATGTTGGAGGGCCCCAGCGAGGGAACTGAGGACCTCTGTCCTACCCAGTAACATCAAATGCTTGGAGAACAAAGGAGCATTTGTATGCTGCAGCCAGAAAATAAGCTCCAATGGAGTTATGCATAAGGAATGGTTGTTGTCAAGGTCTTGTCATTGGAGTTTTCCCAATTTTTTGGTACCCAGAACTGATAACCCTTCAGACAATGTACAGTGCTTAAAGATAAAGGGCATCAATTAACATCAGGCAAACATACTGGAAACCCACTGAGAAAGACTCAGGATACAAATGCATCGTTACTGTAGGTAACAGGACAGTTTGCAGGGTTTATCAGGGAGGCATGGAAAATAAGGTTTCATCATATTTCCAAGAATAGATTTATTTTGCAAATGCTTAGTGAATACTGACACTGAACTGAGTGACAGAGCGCAGCGGCACATTGTCCTGAAGAGGCAACAGCCTCCTGCGGGAGATCAGTGTGAGCGAGCACTTCGAACAGCGCATAGGCAGCCAGCACAGGCAGGTGTGCGGTGCTGCAGCAGGTAAAGGAGGCTCATACGAAAAGTGGAAACCCAGCAGGGTCCAGGTGTAGCGCCAGAGCAGGGCATGCCTAGAATCCGGCAGTCCTAGGGTAGACCCCCAACGCCAGCAAAAGGGGAGAGGGAAACAAAGAAGAGCCTCACAGAGCAGATGTTGAACTTGGGAGTACTTCATCTGCACTCCATGCGCAGGCGCACTGGCATCTGACAACCAGCAGCTGGGAAGACTAACAGTCCCCAGTGAAGGACCTGAAAGGTCCATGTCACAAAGCAGTTTGCTGGGACGAAAGTTTGAATGAGCTTCCGGGGAGTGAGAGAGTCCTTGCCAGCCACATATCCAGTGTGTGGACCTCATTCAACACCTGGCATTTGTGTCCCCATATAATGTAGCTCTACTCTTCTATTGACATTTACGCAGTAAGGCTCACAATGATTCATTTTTTTCCTTCTTGTAACTCAAGCAATGATGCAATTGATAAGGTAATCGTGCAATGTAATGAAATAAGTTTATTTTAATGGCAAATCTTATTTAAATACCTTTAGAAATTATCATAATCCCATATTTGCAGAACAATTAAGAGTCTAAGAGGACTCCTTACATTTTATGGCTACGGCTTACTGTATTTTATGGTTGAAATTATGTCATGATGACATTCATGATTCTGGAGACTCACCAAGGTCATGGGTAAATGCTTCAAGGGAATAATGGATCAAAGTCTGTAGGTAATATATTTTATTGACACTCTGCTAGATACAATAAAGTCTTACTTTGAATTTTGAAAATAAAAATATTCCCCTTTACAAAATTTTTCTACAAGTTGAAGACAGCTAACAGGCCCTCCCCATTTAAGTCAGCTTGGCTTGCACTTCCAGAAGACAATGAAGATATTTATCCACACAACCACAGACTGACAAATTATTCAAATGAGAAAGATAACCTGATTCTCCAGCTGCACATTTTTCTTTCCTATTTCCTAGAAGATAATAACCACTAAAACTCCAACTCTGGCCCCCTCCCCCACACAGGCTCTTGAGGATCTCCAACTTAACCTGATTTCACTCATAACCCCAACATACTCCTATTTTTTGTCTTCTGATAACATGGGTTTTATCACCAAAGCTGGAAAACCCAATAGGTGGCCCAAACCTTCCTCTGACACTAATCAATCACTGAGTAAATCAAATTTACCTCCTAATGACTCTCAGACACAGCCAGACAGAGCCCCCGTAATTCCACCCTAACTCAAGGCCTAGTCATCTGTCACCACAGATCCAGAAGTCTTGCCTGTTTCTAGACTCCATTTTATACAGAGTCATCCACTCCCAATATGGTGAACTTGCTTTCATCAGCCTCCTCTGAAGATCAGCTACTGTGTCAGCCAGTGGCTTGGGGACAGAGATTTGGCACCCACTGTCCACAGATGACGTTGAGAAACACTTTGACCAGCAGCAGTTTTTCCCCCAGTGTAGTTCTGTGCATCTTGCTTTTGACACACTGTCTCCTTCTCACCCTCACACTATTCTCTTCTTGGAGCCTCCATCAGTCCTTCAGGATCCAATTCAATTGTCATTGTTTAGGTAGAGCCATCTATAAATCTGTGTGGCTTCCCACGGCATTGGGTGTATGTTCCTGTTAAAGTGGTATCACAGATGACCGTAATAACTTGTTACCAAATTCACCTTGTCAAGTGAACCACATGCTTTTGTTCAACTCGGAATCTCCAGTTCCCAGCACAATACTTGGCTCCTGCCAAGCCTCCAGGAAGCATTTGCTGAATAAAAGGACCTGCGATTGAGGTCTGCAGCTACATCATAAAATAAGCCATGTCACTAAAGAAGAAAATTGCTTTTCTGTTAACTCTAAAGTGAACCGAAGTGTCAAAAAAGCTAAGACAAGGATGAAGGCTGCTTTTAGATCTTGAGTAATTTTTAAATTCCTCATCATATCTGTTCTAACTAAAGACTAATCCCAGCAGGCTCCTGTGGCCTGTTAGCGGAGTTCGCTTGAGTACCAGATCCAGCAAATCCTCAATGATCATAAAAGAGAGAGAGAGAGAGAGAGAGAGAGAGAGAGAGAGAGAGAGAGAGAGAGAGAGAGAGACAAAGACAGAGAGACAGAGACAGAGACAGACAGAGACAGAGAGAGAGCATGAAAGAAGCTACTGGCTCTAAATGATGTGAGAAGATGCACAGTAAAAAAATTATCTGCTAAATATTCTTCCTCTTTGACACTGAGATCACAGTAACACACACGGCAGATACACTGAATGACATGTACCGCACATCTGTGGGGGCAGTTTCCATCAGCAGAACTGTAGACAAGGGCTTTTCCATCATACGTTCACTCCGACACAACTGTTAGGGAGTGACTATGTGCTGGCCACTATGCAACTTCCAGAGAAATAAAGACAAGAAAGGACCCCTGAAATTCCCAGATTTCTGTGTCGTGGATGGTTTACTACAAATTGGCGTTTTGACTTTGTATGACCAAGTAGTTACTCTTTAATCCTCCCCGGTTCTATAACGTCCTGAACGTTCCCTTGTACACAACAGGCCTTGGTAACACGGGGAAGGCAGCTAAGCATTCTCATCTAGCTAAATGATGGTGCTAAGCACAACCTGTCTCAGGATGCGAGACATTGAAACAGCAGTGTTTCCCAAGGAGTTTCAATTCCCCGGTGTGTGTTGTGCTCTGATGAAAGAGTATATTCGGGGGTTGTGGAGGGGTTGGAAGAAAGCAGGCCACGAGTAAGCTGAGCTCGTGCTTAGACTCTCACTGGCATTCTGGTGATTCTGTGTCAGCCTCCAACGGGATTTCTCAGGTACCCACTCTCAATACAGTGGTGCAAAGAAAAGCTTCTACTAGACTCTAGTAACTAGAGGAAAAGGCGGGCCAGGGAAACAGGTAAATCCATTCAGTGCCACTGCTGGAACCCACACTTCAGCCTTCCTCCCGATAGGATACCAGAGGAGGTCACGCCCAACTCTAACAAACTAAATCACAAATAAATGTCAGATAGAGCAGGTTCTCCAGCCCCTTGGCTGCCTCGATCGTTTTCTCCTCCAGGAGTCCCTAACCCGCTGTGGTTCCCACCGGTCTCTGAACAGCGCCGCGCCCTCTCGGCCCCACCCAACACACAGGGGCCGGTGTCTGCACCCCTCTACCACTTGCGGGGCGCCACCTATCGGGGTCCCGGCCCCGCCCAGCCCCACGTGCAGGGCCCCGCCCGGGAGCTAGCGGCCCTTTAAACTCCCCCACCCTTGCACACTACCCCCCCACCCGGACGGCAGCCGAAGAGGGACAAACTCATGGCGTACAGCCAGTGTCTTCCGCGGAGCGCGTCCCCCTCTGCCCTGGCCCGCTGGGCTCTCCACCCAGGGCTTCGACCCCCTGGCGCCCCCCGCGCCCCCGAGTCCAGGTGCAGGAGTGTGGGCGCTGTCCGACTCCAGGGAGGGGCGGGAGGGAGCGCTATCTCCGCCGCCTGCCTCCGCCTGCCGCTCGGGCCGCCCGCTCGCCCGCCGCTGGGTGCGCTGCACGCGGGGGGCAGCCGCGGTGCAGAGGTTCATGCAGCGGCGGCGGCGGCGGCGGCTGCTGCTGCTGCCGCCGCGGAAACAGACAGACCGGGCGCTGCCGCCGCCACCCTCCCGCAGCTCCATGCCGCCGCCACCGTCGCCTCCTCTCCGGCGAAGGGCGGGGGGCTCCGGCCCGGGGTGGGCAACACTCCTCGCAGCGCCGCTCCCCTCCCTGCCCTCCGCCGGGGCGCGGGAGCCGGCGAGAGCGCCCGCCGCCTCCTAGGAGCGCACGCTCCGCGCGCCCTTGCTAGAGCAAGGAGGCGGGCGTGGGCGGGCGTCGGGGCAGCCGCGACCCAGCGCGCGGAAAGGGGAGGGGGCTTCCCCGGAGGATGCCCCGCGGCGGTGGCTCCTCGCTCTTAGGCGCTAGCTGAGCTGGACCGGGAGCGAGCGGCGCGTCGCCATGCCGGCGTGACGGGCGCCCGCGGCTGCCCGCGCCGGGCCCCCGCGCTGCCCCACGCCGCGCCGCGCCGGCGCCGGGCGGCAGGATGGGCTGTATCCAAAGCATCACCTGCAAGGCGCGGATCCGGCGCGAGAACATCGTGGTGTACGATGTGTGCGCCACCATCGACCAGTGCCCCACGCGCATCGAGGAGACCTCGCCCATCGTCCTGCGCTACAAGACCCCTTACTTCAAAGCCTCGGCCCGCGTGGTCATGCCCCCCATCCCCCGCCACGAGACCTGGGTGGTGGGCTGGATCCAGGCGTGCAACCAGATGGAGTTCTTCAACACCTACAGCGACCTGGGCATGTAAGCCACCGGCCACGCCACGCGGCGCGGAAGCGGGGTCCTGGTCCCTCTCTCCCCTGTCCATTCCGGTCCCCCTCCCCAGCCCCTCTTACCGTTGTCCCCATCTCTCTCCGAACCCTCCTCCCGCCTCCCCACCCACCTCCCTCCTCCCTGCGCTTTTGTTTCAGTGACAGGGCGGGTGACGGGAGGCTCCTCGCGAAGGCATTTTCTCGTGCTTTGCTTCTGACTTCCTCAGAAAGGCGAGGAGAATAGTGAGGGGCAGAAAGAACGCGACTGGGGGGTTCGAGAGGCAAAGATGGGGTGATTGGCGAGTGTCATGGTAGTTTTGGGGGCGCAGTCTGTGCTTGTGGGTCTCCCCGGGAAGAGTTTGGGGAGAGGAATGGAGTGCCTGGGGCGCATGGTCTGTGTCGTGCGTCCTTTGGAGGAAACCAAGCCGGTTTAGATGAGAAGGTACAGGGCGTCCGAGTGGGAGTTAGAGGTTCTTCCATCGCCCCCCAAGCCTGTGAGCATAGCGGCATCTCCGCCTGGAACGTCCTGCCGGGCAGAGAGCCTCTGTGGCGGTGCGCCCCAGGGACCAGGTCTGGGCGATGGGAAGCTGGGAGGCACAGGATGCTCCCGGGGCCAAGCGGAACTGATGGCCTTGTGCTAGCGACCGGCTGGTGCAGCACTAGATGTTTCTTAGACTCGAGGAAAGGATGAGTCCCTTCAGCTGTCTGGGGTCTTTACTTTTCAAAACTTTCCTAATTGCGGCGCTGGAAGTGATTCCCAGGCGCCCACCGTCGAATCCTGTCAGCTGGCTGGGAGCTCTCCAACTTCCTTCAGCAGCGCCCTTTGGTGCGCGCTGAGGGTTTGGCCGCTGCGGTGCACCTAGATCGCCAGGGCTCCGTCGCCACCAGGGGCGGACATCCTACCCTGGAACCGCAGGCTTTGGGAGGTCGCGTTCTGGACTTTTTTTACTTACTAATTTTTCATCTGTCCTTCTGTCCCTTTTCAGGACTAGCCTCCTCCGTGCACTTGGCAACTATATATGGCTAGGAGATTTGGGCCCTGCATTCTACCTACTATTACAATGTCAGTCTCGAACACCCTAATTAGCTTGTGGCCTTTAGGGAAACCCCTTTCTCTGGAAATTCAACCTCATTTCATTTCTTAATCTAAAATCGTGGCGCTCCCAAGATTTACCTATTTAAAATGGATATGGGATGGGGGAGTTCTAGTTTTAAAAGGTCAAATCATCTTTTTAGCAGCAGTTTCTGGGCTTTTTCTTGCACTCTCAGAGCATGCAAGTTAACACTAGTCATAGGTGCTAAGAGGAATTTTGACAGATCGTTTTGTTTCCTTTTCCTCCCAGAGTTTGCACTTTGCTCTTTAAGCATAAAAGCTCAGTAGAGAAAGCTGGTTGGTGGTGGAAAGATATGTGAGCCCTGCATTGCAATACGCCTGAGCACACTGTGTTCTTGTCTTTCTGGAAATGAGAGAAATGGGGGACATATTATTTTGGGTGAATCATGCCATCTAAAAAGACACAACCTGAAAGGAGTGGTCATATCTTTATATGTGTGTTAGAACTGTTTGTTTTGTTTGGGTCTGTTTGAAACTCATTCTTTTCAGCCAAGTAAGAGAATGTGTGGCTAGGGATGGGCATGCATTTCATGCTTCTGGCCTCACCCTGATGGGGGCAGTCACAGAGCCTGAATCCCCTAGTAAAGGAAGCCTTGAGGGACTTAGCAGGAACAGCCCCATATTTCCCAAGATTATACAGAAGAGCCCTCTGTGGCTTAAGTCCCTTGTAAATCAGTAAGTACAAAGTGCATATATATCAATTCCTTCTGTAAATTACATTTTACCAAAGAAGTCAAGTTGAGCTATAAACAGATATGATAGTGGGACTTCCTTGTATCTAGGGAGGGTGTGTCTACTTTGGAACCATTTGCACAGTCATGAATCCCTTACAATAAAGTCCCTTGACATGCCCTTCTGAATTCCTGCATTTGAGGTCTGGAAAGATTTTGTTTGTTTCATATAACTTCTACTTTCAGTATTTTAGGGTTGCTTGTTTCTGTGTTGTTGGTGCAGGGAAGCAAGAACAGTCCCAAAGAAAGCATAAGTTGCATTATTACAGGTCTGTATCCAGAGTTGATCTATCTCTATGTGGTTGTAATAATTGCTATGTGTTTAGAGCCTAGATTTTACGGATTCAGTTTCTACCGAATATTTATGCCCTGAAAACTTTGCCAGTGCAAACTTTTTAATAGAATGGCAAATTGCATGGAAGTGATTGTAGTCTGTTGGTTGGTTGTCTGTCAGCTTTAGCCAGTACCATGAGCAGCAGACACTGAAGGCTGGGTTTTCACTCCTATACAGCTATACAGTGTTCTGTCACAGAAGCATGGTGCAGTGAAGTTTGGGTTAGAAGGGTGCCTTTTCAATATTTTGGAAACAATTATGCAATTTTAAATCCACAACTAAAACAGCAAGAAACCACTAGTTCCAGAACATGCCTTTGTGGTTTAAATGTTGAAGTTCCTCAAGAGAGGGAGAGCGTAGGCTTTTTAAAAAATTATTATTAGCATACAAGGAGTTAGGTTTCATGACAGCATTTTTCAAACAAAATTTTTGCTGTTGTTTCTCTTTACCCCTCCCCCACCCCAGTCCCCATCCCTTCCTGTGCCCTTTGACCCCCGTAGCCTCCTTTCTGCTTTCCTGTTACATCTGACCTATTGACCTTTCCCCTTTCTCAATAGTTCCCCGTACCCACTCTCACATACGTACAAACACCAGAATTTAGAATCTGCATCTAAGAGAGAACATGAGAATTTGGGGAGGGTGTTGTTGTAGTTGTTGTTGTTGGGGGAGGTTGTTTTGTTTTTGTCTTTCTGAGTCCAGGTCACCTTACTTTAATGTGATTCTTTGTGGATCCATCTATTTTCTTGCAGGTTTCATAATTTTATTTCTCTTTATGGTTAAGCAAAATTCCGCTGGACATATGTGCCACGTTCTCATTCTCCATTCTTCTATTGGTGAACTTCTGGGGTAGTTCCATTTCCTTCTTGTTGCAAATAAAGAAACAACACACATGGCTGTGCAGTTATCTCTGTAGTTGGATACAGAATCCTTTGGTCGTATACCTAGGAGTGTTGTGGTAGTTCTATGGTATGGTGTGGTGTGGTATGATATTGTATGGTAGTTTTATTTTAATTCACTTCAGACAACGCCATACTGATTTCCATAACAGATAACTGGATTTGCACTCCCAATACTGAATAAGGGTTCTTCTTTTCCCCATGTCCCTGCCAGGATTTATTGTCCCCCCCCCTTGATCATAGCCATTCTGATTGGAGTGGAATGAAATCTCAAAGTGGATTTAATTTCCATTGTGAAGGGAAAGCTTCTAAAGGAACATTTTGAATCATTGATGGCCATGATGTTGTAGTTTGAACTTGAACTCAAGTGACTTGGTATTTCCCCTAGTGACCATGAAGAGTCACATTGGTGACTACTTGCATCACTTCCTTATTTCTAACTTGGGTCTGGTGAATCTGGCTAATGCAGTCTTCAGCAGAATGTTCGAAGTCTTCCTCCTCCATCAAGAAGAGTCACTGGTTTCTCAATCAGCCTGCAGTGAACATACTTACCAAGTGTCCTGATATACAAGCACCACAAGGGAACAATGGGATTTGTAGTGGTCTCACTTCCTCACACTAGAGAAACCAGTGCTGAAAAGAAAGTAAGAGAAGGATCTGGAGAAGAGGGACCAGGAAGGGTTTTCTGAAGTACAGTGTTTCCAGTTGGTCTCTATAATATGGAGAAGCGGGGGGGGGATTTTAAAACAGGAGGTTTAGGGGGAGAAGGAAAGAAGACATTTTAAACTGCAAGGACTAGGATATGGGGAGTGTGCCCAGAGAACAGTAGCTGAAGTCTAAAGGGTAGGTGGGGCCTATTGGGAGGCATCACATAACAGTCTAAAAAAGGGGAAATTTAATGTCAGCTCTTCATCGCCAGGGGGTGTTAGGAGTTCTCTGTGCCTTCTTCATACCTCTTGCGTGTGCAGAAGCTGCCCAGCAGAGGCAGAAGAACAGCCCCAAGTGTTCAACACAACTCCCAAGACATTTCCTGGGTGGGGCTTGAGCAGGAATGGAGCTCTCTTGCCAGGAATGGATGAGGTGAAGCTGAGGCGATCAGGGGAAAGGTTGTGGCTAGAGAGCCTCTCACCCACACTGTCTTCTAGGGCTGTAAAGGAAATCTTCCATAATAGCTCAGACCTGCCAATCTGGAGAACTTTGGCTTGGGTGAAATTGAGGTCATATTTCCCTCCTCACTTTGAAGAGAGAGTCTGCTCACTCTCTACTTCATCATTCCTGTAGTTGGTGAGCATCTGACTAGCCTCTCACCTCTGAGACCTGTTCACTGCTATCCAAGCTGCTCCCATTCCATTGAGAAACCCACTCATTTCGAGTTTTTAATTTCCACGTTGCTAACTCCAATTGACCTGCTATTGAAAGACACTCACCTTCCCAAGTGACTGACAGCTTTCTGCATTAGTTAACTACTCTCATATCTTAGCTTCCATACTCTTTCCAGCTGTTCTGGCCTCTGTCTTACCTTATAAATCTTACTCTATGTTATTCAAAATACATATTTCTCTTCTCATTCTTCACTTTCTCCGACTAATTCCATCCATCCCAATAGCTCCAGATGCTCTCTATATCTCTCTGGTATGCAGCCAGGTACGTGTGTCTCTGCAGTTCTGCCTGACTATTGGAAAGGTATCTCAGGCTTAAGATTTCCACACTTGAGTTATTTTCTGTTCATCTCTTTTGATGTTGTTGTTTATTTAGTCTTTTGAGAAATATTGTACTATGTAACCGCACATGGTCTGCCAGCCTGGAATTCATGGCAATCCTCCTGCTTTGACCTCCTGCACACTGAGACTACAGGGCTCCACACACCCAGCTTCACTCATAAATGTTTCATCCCCACTGAAGCATTCACCAAATTTC